TATAAGTAGCTCTTGGCACCATCAACACTCTTCCTATCTTCGGTATGTCAATAAACTTGGAAGTCTATATAAATAGCTCCTGGGCAACCATTACACTCTCCATAAACTATCCCGTATGTCAAATAAACTGGAATCTTTATAAGTATTATAAGTAGCTCTTGGCACCATACACTTCTTCCTATCTATCTCGTATGTCAATAAACTGGAATCTTTTATAAGTAGCTCTTCTACCACTCAAACCTCTATCTTTCTCGTATGTCAAATAAACTGGATTTTATACTTTTATAAGTAGCTCTTGGCACATCACACTTTTCCCTATCTCGTATGTCAATAAACTGGAGTCTTATAAGTAGCTCTTGGCAGCCATCACACTCTCCTAACTATCCTCGTTATGTCAAATAAACTGGAATCTTTATAAGTGAGCTCTTGCACCATCACACTCTTCCTAACTATCTCGTATGTCAATAAACTGGAATATTTATATCTTTATAAGTAGCTCTTGGCACCATCACACTCTCCATATCTATCCTATGTCAATTAAACTGAATCTTTTATGAAGGTTAGCTCTTGGCACCATCACACTCTTCCTATCTTTCTCGTATGTCAATAAACTGGAATATTTATATCTTTATAAGTAGCTCTTGGCACCATCACACTCTTCCTATCTCTCTCGTATGTCAAGTAAAACTGGAATATTTATAACTGGTATTATATAGTAGCTCTTGCACCATCACACTTTTCCTATCTCGTATTGACAATAAACTGGAATCTTTATATCTTTATAAGTAGCTCTTGGCACCATCACACTCTTCCTAACTAGCAATAACTGAATCAGAAAAGATGATAGTCACTGGGCGAGGCCATGGAAATCATTTTATATACTGGTCAGCGGCCAAAAAAATATAAAAAAGAAGGATGGTCAGTAAAAAAAAAAAAAAAAAAAAAAAAAAAAAGTTGGGAATCACTGATTTAGATTCATAAGCTGAGACGACTTCTCTTCCATAAACTTGAATAAACGTAAGACTTAAAACTTCTTAAATAAACTTAAATAAACTACGCGAGAATTTAATTTGATTAATTTATTTCTATTATTTTCATTCATTTATCTATTTATCTATTTATTTTCTACTTATATTGTGTGTGTGGTGTGTGTGTGTGTGTGTATGTGTGTGTGTGTGTGTGTGTGTGTGTGTGTGTGTGTGTGTGCGTGCGTGTGTGCGTGCGTGGGTGCGTAAGAGTTTGCGGTAAACTACTACTGTGTGCTCAGGATATTTACGTTTTGTGTGTGAGTAAGTACGCGCGTGTGTGTGTGAGACGAGCGCGCGTGTGTGTGCGTTTGCGTATTTGTACATGCGTTCATATGTGAGTGTGAACGTGTGTCTATGTGAGAGTACGTACGTGCATCGGTGCGTGTGTATGTGTGTGATAAGTGACCCTTAAAATAAGTGATAAGTGACCCTTAATTAAAAGTTGAGATCATTCTATTTAAACCTTTCGAAAATTAAGGTGTTCTACAAATCACTAAAAAAATTATCAAATAAATACAAACTAGCATTCCTTAACCTAACATATATATGTTATTACCTTTCACCGTCATAACCTCCTCATTAGCATAAAACCAAACCAATAATTAACCCTCCCCCCCCTCCCCCAAAAAAACGAAAGCGAAAAAAAATGACCTAAATACACGAAAGTTAATTAAATTACCATAATACAAAATCACACATGACATCAGATGCCATATGACACGAGAGAAACTTCACTAATTATCTAAAAAAAAAGCGTTATTTAACTCGTTATTTCAGTTGAGAAAAACATTCATTGGTTACTTAATAAAAAAGGTTATTTATCTAGATACTTCTAGAATATCTTCTCATAGCGAGCAATATCATTAATGGTGATTTAATAACTTGTGTCACCGTTGAAAAAGATGGCAATAGATACTTCCCCAGTTATCTTTAAAAAAAGAAGTTATTTATCAAGTCATCCAGTGATAAAAAAAAAAAAAAACTTCACTGGTCATCTCCAAAAAAAAGTTATTTATTTAATCATCCCGTTAAGAAAAAAAAACAAAAACATCATTCGATCATATAAAAAAAATATTTATCCTATAATCCAGTCCCGAAAAAAACATTTACCTCAAGAAAATTTTTAAAAAATATTTATCTATAATCCAATCCCAAAAAAAACACCATTTACCTCAAGAAAAAGAGAATTTACTCACCTAGTCCCTTCTCAAACCCCCACTAGTTACCCCCAACACATTCTTCTCCCAGCCAGCAACAGCCCTAACACCGATTTACATGAGGACGCGTGCCGCCCTTGCAGCAGAAGGCTAAGAACCAGCGCCAGGGACGTCACCTCATCCTCCCGCAGCCTCCCACAGACACGTCTCCTCATCTCACTCTGTCTCATCTCACTCTTGCCGGGAGATGAGGTCGAGGGCGCTGCTGCTGCCTAGGCCTCTCGAGTAGAACCAAGTGGGGGGGGTGGGGGGGACAAACTGGGGGTCTTCTCCGTTGCTTAAATCGTGGGGAGGGGGTGGGAGATAGGGGAGGAGTGGGGAGGGGAGGGGAGGGGGAGGGGTGGTTTGGTTGTTTGGTTGTCTTAAATCGGGGGTGGGGGGAGGGAGGAGGGGTTAGGGGTTGTTTGGTTGGTTGGTTGTTTGGTTGTCTTAAATCGTGGGGGTGGGGGGTGGGTTGGGGGGGAGGGGAGGGGTTGTTTGTTGTTTAGTGTTTGTTTGTTTTTGTTTGAATTTGTTTGAATTCGTTGTTGGGGGTGGAGAGGGTGGGAAGGGGGGGGGTGGGGGGTTTTTTGTTTGTTTGTTTGTTTGGGTTGTTTGGATTTGGTGTCGAGGATAATTTAATTAGATGTATCGTTATTATCACTGTTGCTGTTTACATCATCGTTATCATTAATATCATTATTATTGTTTGTTGTTGTTGTTGTTACATCATCGTTATTATCATTAGTAGTAGTAGTAGTATCATTATTATTATTACACTACTACTATTAGTTAGTAGTAGTAGTAATAGTAGTAGTAGTAGTAGTAGTATCATTATTATTACTATTATTATATTTATTATTATTATTATTATTATTATATTTATTATTATTATTATTATTATTATTATTATTATCATTATTATTATTCATTATTATTATCATTATTGCTGTTGTTGTTCTCACTGTTATCATTACCGCCATTATTGTCATTATCATTATCATATCATCATCATTATCCTCACTATCACCACCAATATAATCATCCTCATCATCATTATCAATAGTAACAGCTGGTACTATGACCATTTTTTATCAGTTTATTTCATCATCACCATCATCATTACTCTCAACATTATCATTACATCACCATCAACATTACATCACATCATTTCGTCATCCACCAAACCATCTTTATCAAGAATCGTGGCACTGATCATCTTTATTATCATTATTACAATCATGATTATTGTATTGACAAATTTTGCTCTATACTTTTTTTATCTCTATGTAAAAGTAGTTCACGTTTTTAATTAATATCTTTTTGTGATTTCTTTTTGTAATTTGAATCAGGAACTGTAGCTATATAGAATTAGGATTGATGTTAAATGATAATAATAATAATGATAATAATATGATAATAATAATGATAATAATGATAATAATGATAATAATGATGACAATAATAATAATAATAATAATGATAATAATAGATAATGATAATGATAATAATAACACCATGGGATTGATGTTAAATAATAATAATAATATAATAATGATATGATAATAATAATAATAGTAATAATAATAATAATAATAATAGTAATAATAATAATAATAATAATAATAATAATAATAATAATAATAATAATAATATAATATAATAATGATAATATAATAATAATAATAATAATAATAATAATAATAATAATAATAATAATAATAATAATAAAATAATAATAATATAATAATATAATAATAATGAATGATAATAATGATAATAATAATGATAAATAATAATGATAAATAATGTAATGATAATATAATGATAATGATAATGATAATGATAATAAATAATAATAATGATATAATAATAATGATAATAATTAATAATAATAATAATAATGATAATAATGATAATATAATAATGATAATAATAATAATGATAATAATAATAATGATAATAATAAATAATAATAATGATAATAATAGATAATGCCAATAATAATAATACCATGGATTGATGTTAAATAATAATAATAATGATGATAATAATAATAATAGTATAATAATAATAATATTATTATTATTATCAACATTATAATTATTATCAACATTATTATTCCATTTTTTTTTCAATTACGAATAGATTAAGCGAGTCCCTTATAAGCGGGGCCAAAAGAGAGACATAAATATCGACGTTTGCTCTATAATGGGGTGTGGAGGACGCGTGCGACGTAAATATATATATATATAGGTGGCGGTGGAGGTTTTCGGTGAAATCTGTACTCCCAAGACGAGGAATTGGTGACGTCATAAAGAAATGTTTTTTTTACGGTGTAATTATAACGAAGGATTAGGAGAATTTTCGATATGTTTTTATTATTATCATTTTTTTTTTTTTTTTTTTTTTTATTGCAAGAGATTTTTCTATGCATTTTTTCTTTCTTTTCTTTTCGTTTTTCCTTATTTGTTTCGGGGAAAAATATAATCATTTTTTTCTTTTTTTTTCTTTCTTTTATTATTATTTTTAGATACAAACCCACGTCAGCGGAACAGACAGACACTAACACAACAGATAGATAACAGGCCCCGCCCACAAAACAGATAGACATTCACCCCGCCCACAAACCATTCATTCACTCCCCGCCCACAACCCAGACATTCATTCACCCCGCCCACAAACCCAGACATTCACCCCGCGCACAAACCCAGACATTCACTCACCCCCACAACCCCCCCCCAAAAAAAAAAGAAAAAAAAAAAAAAAAACCTACCTTGTCGACACCCACTTCCCTCTAACATCCGGGGGCATCGGGGCGGCTATGGGCGGATGCGTCGCCTGGTGAAGGACTGCATGACACGTTGGCAGCCCCGTGTCATGCACCATGTTATCCCCGAGGTGTCCCTGTGCCAGCTGTGCCAACCACGACGACACGCAGGCTGGAATGGACAGAGGAAAAGGGTTAAGTTGTCTGATGGTTCTGCCTGCTCTGTGATGCTGAATTTATTGTCTGAGGGGCGGTTTGGTGGGTGTGGCGGTGGGGTGTATGGGCGAGGGCAAGCGCGCGTGGGCGGGAGGGAGGAGGGGAGGTGGTAAGTGGGTAGGAAGGGGGGAGGGAGGGAGGGGAGGTTGGGGAGGTGGAGGTAAGTGTGTGGGCGGGAGGGAGGAGGTTAGGATAGGGAAGTGTGGGGTGGGCGGGGAGGGAGAGGGGAAGAGAGGTTGGGGTGGTGGGAAATAGGTGGGTGGGGAGGGATGAGGTTGGAGGTGGGTAATATGGGTGGGTGGGTAGGGGGGAGGGGAGGGAGAGGAGAAGGAGGGGGTAAGTATGGGGAGGGTGGGTCGGGGAGGGAGAGGGAAGGGGGAGGAAGGAGTGGGTAAATATGGGTGGGTGAGTGGGTGGGGAGGGAGGAGGAGGAGGTGGGTTAGTATGGGAAAGGTGGGCGGGATGGTGGGTGGGTTCGTCTGCGTGGGCGGATGTGGGCGGGATGATTTGTTGGTCTGACTTTCAAAGTAATAGTAACGGTGATAATAGTTATTATCGAAAATTATTATCATATTTCTAATACTAATGATAAAAATTATATCAACGATAATGATGATGATAATAATAATAGTAGTAATAATAGTAACAGTAGAGATAGTAATGATAATTGGTAATGGTGATAGCAAAAGCAATAATAATAATAATAAATAGTAAAAGTAATATATAATAATGATAGTAAAGTAATAGTAATGAATAATGATGATTAGTTAAAAGTAATAATAATAATAATAACGATAATCATAATGATAATGTTAACGACGATAATAATAACAATCATGACAGTAATAATAATTTCCATGATATCAAAATGTTAGTATTAATGATGATTATTGTGATGACAAGAATTAAGATAATAGATAATAATAAGTTAATCATGATAATTACCCTCAATAAACATTTAATAATGATGATAAAAAAGATAACAGTAATTATATTGATACACACCTTCTTCCCAACCAACCCCCTCCCTCCCCCCTCCCCCTTCCCTTCACATTTTTTTCTGTCTCCTTTCCTCCTCCTTCCCTTCTCCTCCTCTTCCCTCTCCCTCCGCCAAGCTTTTAATTATTTTCCACTCCCTTCCATCCCTCCCTTCTCCTCCTCCTTCCCTTTCCACTTCTTTATCCCCTCCCCCCATCTCCCTTCATTCCCCTACCTCTCCCTCCCCCCTTCCCCCTCCCTCCCCTCTTTCTCTTCCTTCTCCCCCTCCCCATCTTTCTTCACTCCCCTACCCCCTCTTTCCTCTCTTTCTCTCCCTCCTCCCCCATCCTCCTCCCTCCTCCACCTCCCCCTAACCCTCCTGCCCCTCCTCCCCCTCCCCCTCACTCCCCCCTCCCTCTCCCCGCCTCGAAGGACTCGTAGCGAAAGGATATCGAAGCCCGAAACTCCTCCTTTCCTTCCCCTTCCTCCCCTCCTCTTTTTCTCTTCCTTCCCCGTCTCCCCATCTTTCTTCATTCCCCTACCCCCTTTTCTTCTCTTCTCTTCCTTCCTTCCTCCCCTTTCCCTCCCCCTCCCCCTCCCCACCTCGAAGCCTCGTAACGAAAGGATATCGAAGCCCGTCCCTCCCTCCTCCTTTCCTGCCCTTTCCTCCCCTCCTCTCTTCCTTCATTCCCCTGCCCCTCTTTCCTCCTTTCTCCTCTTCCCCCTCCCCTCCCTCCCTCCTCCCTCCTTCCTCCCCCTCCTCCTCCCCTCCCCCTCCCTCCCTCCCTCTCCCCCTCCCCCCTCTCCTCCTCCCCTCCCTCCTCCCCCTCTTCCCTCCCTCCCCCCCTCCCTCCTCCTCCCCCTCCCCACCTCGAAGCCCGTCCCTCTCCTTCAAAGGATGATGACTCGCCCAGCCGCCGTAGGAGCGACGTGGTCTCCTGTACATTTTGCAACACCCTGTCGCGACTGTCGCGATGTAGCGATGTGAATATATTTTAGTTTTTAGTTTTTCTACTAATTATTTTTTTCGTTGGGGTGTGTGTATGTTTTTTTTTTTTTTTTTTTTTTTTTTTTTTTTTTTTTTTTAAGGGGTGTGTTGTTTTTTTTTTTCGTTTTTCTTTATATGTGTTTCGTTATTCCTGTTTCTTGTCGTTCTTTTTTCTTTCTTCGTATAGATGTTACTTATTTTTCGTTTATCTTTATATGTCTTTCGTTATTCCTTTTTTTTCTTTCCTTCCTTCTTCTTCGTATAGATGTTATTTTCTTCGTTATTCTTTATCTATCTCTTCTTATCTATTGTCTTCTCTTCGTCTCGTTTTATTAGGTAGAGAGAGAGGGGGAGGGGAGAGGGGAATGGGAAGGAAGGGGGGGGGGTATCTACATCTTTTTTATTGGGGGAAGGGAGGGGAAAGGGAGGAGGGGAAGGGGGGAGAAGGGTATCTCTGTCGTCTCTAATCCATACAAGTCTGGGTTTTATTTATATATCTTTTTTTTCTATTTGTATCTCTTTTTTATTGTGCTTTTTTCATGTCCGGGTTTTATCTATATATCTTTTTTTTATTTGTATGTCTTTTTTTTTGTTATTCCGTAATCACTGTTGTGTGTTTTCTGTGTTGTTGTTTGTTACGTTCGTCTTGTTTTATTGTTTCTTTATTGTTTTATCTGCTGTGCATGTTTTGTTTTTTTTCGTTATGTAAAGGAGATTTGTCTGTATTCTGTTTTGACGAGTGTGTTAGGTATGTTTGCTGTTGTTTTTTTTGTGTTTTTCAATGTCTCTTTAATTATCTAAATTTTCATTGTCTTTTCTATTTTTATTATTATTATTATAATTATTTTCTGGGTTTAATCCTTTTTTGTTCTTATTTTTTCCTAACATTTTTTTTTTTGTCTTTCTCTTCTTACTTGAGTTTCGTCTTTATTTTTTCATCATCCTTCTGTTTTTCTTCTTTTTCTTCCTTCTTCTTCCTTCCTTCTTTTCCTCTTGCTCCCATTCTGTCTACTGGCTGTCTTCCTTTCTCGTCCTTTTTTTCCTATATATTTCTTTCATAAACTCTTTCTCTTTCTCTTTAATCATTTCTCCTCCTCTAACTTTCCTTCTTTTACTTTTCCCTTCTCTCCCCCTCTCTTTATTCTTTCTTTTTCGTCTTCTTCTCTAGTCTTCTTCTCTCGTCTTCTTCTTTATAAGTCTTCTCTCGTCTTCTTCTTTATCGTCTTCTCTCGTCTTCTTCTTATCTTCTCTCGTCTTCTTCTTTACGTCTTCTCTCGTCTCTCGTCTTCTCTTTATCGTCATCTCTCGTCTTCTTCTCTCGTCTTCTTCTTTGTCTTCTTCTTTTGTCGTTTTCTCTCCTTTCCCACTGCAAGCGGAGGATCCATGCTTCCGCCCAGCCGCCTCTTCCTCTTCCTTCTTCTCTTTTCCTTCTTTCCCTCCTTCTTCATTCTTTCTTCGTCTTCTCTTCTTCTTCTTCTCTCCTCTCCCACGACACGCGGAGGATCCATGCTTCCACTGACCTGCCTCTTACCTTCCCTTCTCCTTTTCTTTCTCTTCCTCCTCCTTCTTCTTCTTCTTCTTCTTCTTCTTCTTCTTCTTCTTCTTCTTCTTCTTTCTTCTTCTTCCTTCTTCTCTTCTTTCTTCTTCTTCTTCTTCTTCTTCTTCTTCTTCTTCATCATCATCTTCTCTCCTCTTCCACCCAACGCAGATACGACGAAGGAGAAGCGAGGGTCAGCATCCAGCACTTACGACCCCTTCGCCTCTCGTACCTACAAGCAACGACCCCGCGATCAGCTGGTCAGAAGACATCACGTGGTGGTTGCCCGGCTCCGGTTGTCGCGCTTCCAGCAGTCGGGCCACTCGAATCGCTCGTCTGAACGGGGCCTTGGGCGACAGACGCGTGAGGCCCCGGCTCCGGTTGTCGCGCTTCCAGCAGTCGGGCCACTCGAATCGCACGTCTGAAGAACGGCCACTCGAATCGCTCGTCTGAGGGGCGACAGACGCGTGAGGCCCCGGCTCCGGTTGTCGCGCTTCGGCAGTCGGGCCACTCGAATCGCTCGTCTGAACGGGGCCTTGGGCGACAGACGCGTGAGGCCCCGCTCCGGTTGTCGCGCTTGCAGTCCCGGCTCGTCTGAACGGGCCTTGGGCGACAGACGCGTGAGCCCCGGCTCCGTTGTCGCGCTTCCATCAGTCGGGCCACTCGAATCGCTCGTCTGAACGGGGCCTTAGGCGACAGACCCGTATGGCAGTGGGCGGGTAGAGACGTGTCACAGTATTCAGCGGGCAAATTGGGCGACGCAGACAGTGCTAACCACCTAAAGTATTACTGACTCGATTGTCCGAAAGTGGCTGATTTAATACCGGAGATTCTGTCATAGAAGTTGGCAAATACTTAATAGCAGAGGACAATTTAGAAGATCTGTCATAGGAATTTGCAAATATTTAATAGCAGATGACAATTTAGACGATCTGTCATAGAAATTTGCAAATATTTAATAGATGATGACAATTTAGACGATCTGTCATAGAATTTGCAAATACTTAATAGCAGACGATAATTTAGACGATCTGTCATAGAAATTTGCAAATATTTAATAGAAGATGACAGCTTAGACGATCTGTCATAGAAATTTGCAAATACTTAATAACTGATGACAATTTTAGACGAAATACTTTAGCGATACCCTTATATTGGCGGTTCTTTATCCTCTCTTTTATAGCTTTCATTGTTTATCATTTATGTGATTATTCCATCTTTCCTTTTAGAGTTTTTACATGGCGTGTCCTGCGTGTCACGAATACTCTGTAGCTATTTGATTTATGCTGTATAGGCTTGTTAGTCCCTGAACAAAATGAATTGATGAACAAAACGAAAAAAAAAATCCTTCTTTCTCTTCCTTTTCCACGCTCTTCTCCTCCTATTCTACCTCTTTTCTACTTTCCTCCTTTCATCCATCCTCCTCCTCCCTACCTCTTTTCCACCTCCCTTC